GGGGGGGCAGGGGGGACGATGTGAATACACTCCGTGCTCAGATGCCACAGTTGTTGGCTGAACAATTTGGTTTTGGTATGAGACCAACGATGCCACCTGTCTATCGAATCCGCAGTGGGTGGATAGAATGTATCCGTTCCCAAGAGGGTTTAGGGTACCAGAGTTTGTACCTTTTACTGGAACTGGTGACCAATCCACAGTGGAACATGTTGGATGATTCACTGTCCAATGTGGTGATGTGGGTGATTTTGTCAAGCTACGTTTGTTTGACAACTCTTTGACAGGACTTGCTTTTGCATGGTACGTCAATTTGCCATCTAATTTAGTGCAAACTTGGCAACAAATGGAACAAATGTTCCAGGCAAAATTCTATCATTCTAAACTTGAACAAAACCATGGTTGACTTGGCACGTATCCACCAGCAACCAGGGGAGACTGTGGAACACTTCTTGACAACTTTTAAAAATGCACGCAATTGTTGTTTTGTGAACTTGACAGAACGCGAATTTGTCAAGCTAGCACATGGTGGTTTAAACTTTGAACTTCTTAAAAAATTTCAAGATAGGGAGTTCTCCGATTTATTCCAGTTGATGTCATGTGCGGTTAGGTATGAGACTCTTCTACGTGAAGAAGAGAATAGAAATACTGCATCTAGGGGACTATACCACCCTAACTTTGATTATACAATAAACCATGTTGTTCAGGAGGTAGATGGTGTCGAGATAGATTTGGCTGAAATTGTGCAAGGAAAGCCATACGTTTGTGCTTCCTTAGTCAAAATGGATAATGAACAACAAGTTGGAAAACCTAACCGTGATCCAGTCCAACCTAGAAAATTTTCTTTTGATGTGGCCAAGTTAGACTTAATTTTTGACCAGTTGTACAAGGATGGTCAGATTAAGCTGTCTGGGGGGCATAGTATCCCACCACCCGAGAAGTTAAAAGGAAAACATTATTGCAAGTGGCATAATAGTATGTCACATGCCACTAATAGTTGTGTGGTTTTCGTAATATTTTGTAGGATGCGATTGACAAGGGATGCATCAAGTTCCCAAACCCTAAGAAAGATACCATGACAGTGGATACTGATCCATTCCCAAATGTCGTGGGCATAAACATGGTCAATCTTGACTTTTCAAAGATTGACTTGCCACGCTTCAAGCTGGTGTTGGATACAATACCGCAGTCAAGTGGCAACTCCAATGTAATTGTACAAGGTGACTCATCATCAACTGGCATGCAAGATGGGCCACGTACTGATCTGGCTGATGAAGAAAAGTTGTGTGCACAGTGCAAAGGGAAGCTGAGTGGAGATAGACCAACCCAATTGGTCCATCAAAGACTTGGTTCACAGAGACCATTCAAACCAAGGTATCCAACATATGAACTTCAGGTGAAAGGAGTATGTGCACCTACATGAGGAAGAGGGCAACGTAGGCAATGGGTTGCTCAGAATGCCCCACCTTTTAAAAGTGCGCATTTCAAAAGTGCTTCTTTTGGACTCTCCCTACCTTCCAGAAGTTCACCACCTGTTAGAAGAACCTTCAAGATGCTAATGTGCCATCAAGTGGATGACACACTTATGATGTTCGTCATCAACAACCAATTGACGTGGATGGGATGACAAGGACACAGTATAGAAAGTTCCTTCGCAAGAATGCTCAACAAAAGTAGATTTACAACATGCATACCAATGTTCGTGTGAACAACTCTGCTGCCACTGGTCTCAAGGTCACGGTGTCTGACAGTGGCAATGAGCGTGGAGAAGAATGATGAAGCCCCAGAAAATGATGGGTATGATGCAGAGCTGGACGAGTCATTCATGGAAGAAGAGATGTTGGAGTTGGAACATCCAATGTCAAAGTTTGACCGGAACAACAAGGATGATGAGGATGATGATCATAACACATTCACAACCATCCAGTTTGGTAGTTTGCCACCTGTTGTGGTGAATAACTACGTTTTGCCAATGATCTTTCACTTTGAGATGGATGGTGAAAAAGGAGATGGTGAATTTGAAGTGGAGGCTGATGAACTAAATGAAGCAAGCCATGAGCAAACCATTGTAGAGTTGGCTGGTGGATTTGCTGGGCTAGATTTGGATGGAGATGAAGAAGAGTCGCCAGTTCTGAACTGGTTATTGAGTTTGCAAGTTTGGCACTAGAGGATGAGCCGTGGATTGTCATGATGGCCCGTATTGGGGCAAGAATCAACTTGTCTGCCGAGACAGCAAGGCAACACAAGAGTTCCCGACAAATCCTAAGAGAATTGTACGAGGCTGGACACAAATATGTGGGAGTACTTGGTGAGGATGATGGTCGGTATCCCTACTACATACTGTACCAAGGACTAGAAGGATCCACAAGCCTTTCTATTGAGAACTCTACATGTGGTTCAGAATTTGAGGAAGAAGATAACTATGTAGTTGTCGAAGAGAAGCTAGATGAAAAGAGTGCTATGCATGTGGCAACAAGAAATGGGAAAGAGGTTGTCGTTGAAGGATCAACAGTTGAGGAACCAAGTCGACTAATGGTGTTCAATGAGCCGGATGCAAAGATGCTTCGACATCTCACACCATTGTACATAAAAGCTCAGATTGATAATGTACCAGGGTCAAGGGTGTTGGTTGACAATGGTGCTGCTGTGAATGTGATGCACACACGTATGCTCAGAAAGTTGGGAAGGAGTACAAGTGATGTCATCCCAACAGAAATGTTTGTTACCAGCTTCAATGGTGGTTCCACCACTGCAAAGGGGATACTACCAGTAGTTGTAAGAGTGGGTAGCCCAAAGATAATGTCTTCTTTCTTTGTCGTTGATTGAGCAATCAGCTACAACGCTTTTCTTGGTAGATATTGGATACATGCTAATAAGTGTGTGTTGTCATCGCTGCACCAGTGTTTAATGTTCTAGAACAAGGATGGTGTGGTCGAAGTGGTACGAGTGGACACCAAACCATTTGCTGTTGGAGCCAATATAGCGGAAGCTCTCCTTTACCATGGGGATTTTGGCCCTCTAGAGATCAAGACAATAGATGGTGGATTGGTGATGTCCAGTGCAAAGGTGTTTAGCAAACAATGTGTTGACCCTCTGTCTGAAATAGTGAGACCATCAATGTTTGTTGTGGATAGTCCACCCCAAGGTGAGACATCATCCATAAATGAGTAAGCCACTCCATACAAGAGTGGCAAAGGAGGCCGAAATTACGGCCTTGCAAGAAAAGTTGGCCATATACCAATGTGAACAAAGGCTTATGTATATGAAGCATGTGTTGATGGCTGACTGTGTACCTGATGATGAAGTATTGGTGGAAGAAAAGGATTCAAGTAAGGATGGAGAAGACAACAAACACATTTCTGCATGTGACGTGTTGGAGAAGATCATTCTTGACATTGAGGAAGATCCACATCTAACTTTAATAAGGGCCAAGCCAAATCTGTGTGAGCTAGCCATAAGTAACGTTTTGTCTTTCAGTTTGGAAGAAGAGGTATCGAACCACATGGTAGCTATCCAAATCAATAAGTTGAATGGTAGCATCCAATCCCAACAGGGCTACCATCCCACTTCCTGAATGGAAGATACCATCCATGTTACAATAGGCCAGGGTTGGTCTTAGTGGTGTGACAATGTATGGGTTAAGTGATTTTATGAATGTTGTTGCTAAAGAAAAAATATGTTGACCATGATATAGTGATGGTTGGTGAGTAAGTTGCATAATTGGTCATGGGGTATGGTGACTCGGTAAAGAAATTAAGGCCACAAGATGGTGTGATTATGAACAAGATAGCAACTAATATGACCATGCAAAAAGCAATAAACAACATGGAAAGATTGGTGTGCACCGATTAGACAGGTGGCGATGAAATTTGCTGCAAGACGCAAGTTGTGTACTGCCAAATAAAGAAAGAAACAAAAAAGACCGCCAACATGCAGTTGATGGCCACCATACACAAAACAATAAAAGGGAGGCAACGTTGTTTTGTGATTTTTGTATCAATACATGCAAACATAGCCATGTGTAAAAAATCATCATGAAATGGTCGTAGAGAATGAACCACAACTTCCAACTTATATGTCCAATGATACAAATGAAGGTTGCCACCAACAGCAAGATAAACGAAGACTACTATCATGCAATTAATTCCAAAGCTACCCAAGCAGTTGAGCGAGCAGAAGCAAAGTGAAGAAAGGTAGCCTTGGTTTGGTGATTCGGGAAGGATTTGCGGAACTGTTGTTGGGAAGCATCCCAGCTTGTAAAATGTATGTTGGTATATTAACTTATGAATTGGGATGGACGAGAGCGTCGATGTAGCATGTACTTGTAGGAGCGAGTGTTTGTTCCTAGCAGGACATAGGTTGATAAGGTGTATTCCCTTTGCATAATTAGTCATATATAATATATAAAACATATTTAATATTTTGCATAATCACTCAATAGTCAAATGTTCCTTCCTTTTACACCAATAACTAATAAAACGCATAATTGTTCATTTTCTATATTTGTTCTTGTAAAGTGAGGACAACAAAATATGAGCTCTTAATTTAGATAAATATCACATTATGTTGGATGAAAACTTGATAGAGAATGAATTTTTAGCCTCTGGTAAATGCTAAGAGACTAAAACAATTCACAGAGACACGCTTAGTTCATACCCCACACCACTGATATATATTTTTGTTTGGTAAAATTATATTAGTGGTATGTATTTATGTTAATAATTAATTATGTGTTGATTGTTATGTTTTATTCATTATATGTATTATTAATTGATGCATTAAGAGGAAAAAAAAAAACTTCTCGCGTTATAATGATTTTTCATGTTATATTTGTGAACACGATTAACCAATTAACCTATTTTATTAATTTGCAGTGTTTGATTGAAATATTATATTTTCATGATTATTAGAATTTAAGCTTAATCAACACCCATTGTAATAATAGACATGCAGAAAAAGAACATCAAATTCACCACCATTTTGCCAAAATAAGTAATTAGACCAAGAGAGAGTTAACACACATTATCTTTTCCACCTTGTATTTCCTCAAAACTTTACAGTCTACACACAACTTTCAGCTTCTTTACAAATCACTCACTAACCTTTACAACCAAACCAACAACCCAATTAAATCTTCTTTTCCAAAATAAGAAAACCAATGAGAGAGATGGAGAATAAAAAATTAAGAAGAAGAAATCAAAGTAATGCAAGGGGATGAAAACCCTGCTCCCTTCTGTAAACACACCAAGCAAAGACCGTACATATCCAGAAGGACAACCAAAGCAAGCTGTATGTAACATTTCAATCCTATGAGGGAGTAAGAACCAACAAGCTGCTGAAAACTGTACAGTTTCATTCCCAAATCTAATTGCTGCAATACCCGGCTTCTGTCAATGGCGTGTTCAACTCACTAGTCACTATGAAATCTGAACAAAGCACAAATAGAAGACGGGACAAAATGCAAGGCATGACTATTTATAGCACTCATGAACAAAGCTAAGAGCTATTGCTTCAAAACTAAGCCACTTACCACATGCTGGTTTAGACTTGAAGATGGATATAGGTTATTCAGGTTTACAAAGAGCGGATCTTTGTAGCCAGGACGAAATCTTCATTCTGTTCTGAAACCATTAACTTGTTGATGATCAACTCTGATATCTGTCGGAGGAACTTCTTGTTGTTGTTGTTGTTGTTCTTCTTCTTCTTCAATAATCTCATAATCTTCTTCTTCTTCTTCTTCAGCATCTGGGAACTTACTCCTGTAGAACTCGAGTTCCGCTTCGAGATCTTGAATCACTCTCTCCTTCTCCGCGAGAAGGTCGTTCATCATCTGTAAAGCATCCATATCATACTCGGCTTGGTCTTCCATCACCCTCAGGCACTGCTGAGCTTCCATTTGTAGAGATGCCTTCTCTTCCTGCAGCCTAGTGATCATCGCCATGGCTTGATTTGCTGCAACTGCTGACGCATTCCTTTCTTCTTCGAGCTCCTTGTACAAGGCGCCCAGCAACTTCTTATCATGCTCCACCTGTCGTTTTAACCTATCAACCAAACTCTCGCCTTCGATTTCACTTACAAGAGTTCCATCAAGAGATAGACCCGACTCGTTCCTCTCCAGTGACATTCTCTTTTGGAGCATCTGCACTTCACTGTTGTTTAAGGACAGCTTCGGGCTCATGGGTACTCTGGGACTCATAGATACTCTAGGGCTCAATGATTGCTCACGAACACCAGATGATAGCTGCGAGGCCAAAGTTCTTAAGTCTTCACTTAGTCGAGAAGAATCCTTTCCAAGCCATTGCTCAGCAGCAAGCAAGCCAGATAGTTGTCTTCCATTATTGGTGATAGCTAGCTTGTATGCATCGCCAAGGTCCAACAAGTTATGCCAGTTTGGAGTATTGTCCCCACTCGAAGCCTGATTTGAATCGGGATACATATCAGTTGTTGTTGCAGCAGCTTGCACTTGCTCAGAATCAGTTGCAGATGGCTGCCAAATTTCCTCCGTTCTTTTACCATCTAAACAACAATAAACAACAAAAAAAGCATGAGAATAACAACCAATAATATTCATCAGGACATACAAGGTGGTTTTGTGAAATCATAAACTTTGATAGGACTTAAATGGACATGCTTTCCATATTTTTAAAGACAGAAGACACTTTTGAACTTACTGCTCTCCTTCAGTCCTTCAACAGGAGAAACCACTTCCTCCACTGGTGAGAGGGAATCATCTTCATCAAGCTTTCTCTCATTCCTTAGATCAAGAGGAAGCTTGCTCTCCCCTAATTGTTCCACGACATTCTCTGTGACATCATCCAAAGGTAAAGCCATATCGTCTATGGAATTGAAGTTGCTCGATTTTGATGTTTCCACAACGATGGTTTCTCTTGCATCTGTATGTGGCGACACGTACTCTGACGAAATGAACTTTTCTTCTTCTATTTTTGCTTTTTCTACATGATTGTCTCGAACAATGAAAAGAGAAGGATCCTCATTATCAAGGCAAATCAGTTCAGGGATCCCAGAGGGTTCAGCATTTTCAGCTTGCTGCCATTTAAGTTCTTCAGAATCGTGACCATTTGTTGCTGGAGATGAAAATAGCACTTCAGATTCGAAAATTGGGGACTCATCAGTTGCTGAAACTGGCTGCATCAACTTCTCTAAATTATCAACTTCAGGTGGAACGACACCCTGTGGCTCCATTGGCAAGCTTTCAAGAGAAACATCATCCACTAACAGATGGTTTTCATCGGCTAATGCATCTGCATCACCTTCCTTGTAAAATACCTGGCCTTCAGATGGCTCTCCTGCCACACCTTCAAGAGCAGCATCATCCCCAATTAATGGTTGGGTTTCATGAGCAGAGACGTTTGAATTATCTTCCTCCTCATCAGAAATTTGGCCTTCAGATTCAGCATCAGAATCAACCTTGACCCCTATATACCCAACATGAGCTAGGGGATCCGAAGTGAAATTTCCAGCTAGACTGCTAATAAGTGGATCCATTGGTGCACATTCAACAGAAACATCCCTCATCAATGGTTGAGTTTCATGAACCGGAACCCAGGCTTCACATTCAGCATCAGAATCAGCATTAATCTCGGTATACTTGACATTAGATAAAGGATCCACCACATAAATAGAACTGCTGGCAGGCAAAGATCCATACCCCATCAATGGATGAGTTTCATGAACTGAACCCCTGGCTTCACATTCAGTATCAGAATCAGCAGTAACCTCAGTATACTCAACATGAGATAAAGGATCAACATCATTAATAACACTGCTGGCTGAACAAGATTGATCATTGATCTTTGGGATATCCTGGCCAAGTTCAGCAACAGCCTCGGAATCAATCGATTTAGAAGAGTTCATCATCAACTGGCTATCAGCAGCTGCTCTTGATGTCCACGGCTCATTACAACAAGAACAATTTAACTGAGGCTTGGAAGTATGATCTACTTCAGATGAAGAGTCACCAAAATCACAATTTTCTTCACCAAGTTTTCCCACCAACAATCTGTATGTTTCGGCATTGGACTTGTTAGTGGTGGCGAAGGAGAAGAGGCATGTTTCACACATTCCATGTACATCCACAAGGTTGTTGTGAGCATGGCAAAGGACCAAGGAAGAGACTTCCAACTTATGGCTGCGGCAAACCAAATCCCAATATGACTTCAACTTCTTGCTACTACTAGAACCAAGGATGTGATCGAGTCTAGAACACAGCGGACATGGAGCTTGCAGCCCACAGTACTGAGCAAATTTTGATATCAAGTAAGTAAATACAGCATTGACCAGGAGCATTGAAATTAGTAGCCATTCAAGAACAGCAGATGCCAAAGCTGATCTTATATCTCGATGCTTCGAAATCACCTTGTTACCCATTCTCTAGCAAAAGTGCAACACAATTTTTTCAAGTGAGACAGAATGAACCAAATCGCTATCCAGTCCTTCCCAGATGGTCAATTACCAAATGCAGCATTCAGAATCTGCAGTCAATTCAGTAGAAGAATGTTAGTACCGAGTAAATGGAAGAAGCGGAATTATCTGAATCTGAACTCTGACTGTACCAGTGTATTTTTGTAAACAAAATAGCCTTGTATAAACAGTAGGGGAAAAAGTAAGAGGGGGAGTACACTTTCAGTAGAACTGCAGATTGCAGTTTGTAATGGATAGATGATTCTTCCACAAATTAGGGGGGATTGCATTGTGCTTAATAAAAAAAAAATTGCTATTGCCCATAAAAAAAGCGGAATTTCCTAATGAGAAGCATCTATAAAGGGGAATCAATTACGAAATAATCCAGTTTCTTGATCTATGAATTGACTGCAGAATACCAGATGAAGAAACTAGGCAGTTTCCTAATGAGAAGCATCTATAAAGGGGAACCAATCAGGTCCAAATTCTATTAAACTGTAAAAAATCACAGGAAAAGAGAATTAACATAAAGCTCTATAGAACAACATAATTTAGCATCATGTGGGAAACAGAGAAACCCAGCAAAAGAAGCCATGAAATTTCGGGGTATGGCCAGCAAGCAAATAGTACAGGAACCCAAAACTCTACCTTCCAGCAGGAGATCAGAAAGGTGAATCTTTAGCAAAAGGTACGGAAATTCAAAACAACTCAATTGAAGGGGAACTGAAGAAAAACAGAGACTTCACCGAGCTCATTAACCCACAATCAGACACAAAGGAAAACATCATCAACAACAATGACGGCACCAAATTAGACACAAATCCAAGAAGATCAAAGCAGAAGCCAGAAGGAGCATAATTGCACACTAAATTCAGTTAAAACTCATCACCAGAGAGAATGAAAAGGAAGGAAACATGGCTTCATAAGAAGTCAGCAGCAAGCAGAAAAATCAGGGAAACCAGAAGATAGCAACAAAGGCTGAAATGATGACGTTGGCACAAATCCGATGAAAGCCATTTTCAGTGCAGAACAATCCAAAACAAAGAGCAAGTAGGAAAAGTAGCCAAATTTGATCTTAAATATATCAAGCAAGCAAAGTTCAAAACAGAGGTTAAACGATTGCACATATAAATGCCCAGGCTCGATCTTGTCGAATGTTTCAACAGCCACTGGAAATGCTCTCCACTGCCAATATGAAATAGAGACAAGTAAATACTGTTCCACGACTGAAGAATCAGGGGGTGAACCACTAGACAAACAACCAACACTGAATTGCAACAGTCTCAAACACATGTCAATGACGATGGACAAACTAAAAAGACCAGGAATGCCTTCACCATTAGTAGAAATCAATCAAGAAAGATCAAGGGTTCTCTTACTAGTAATACTAACTAAAGCACCATCAGCACCCATCTGCCACTAACACAGTCATGACATTAGAACTGTGGTAAAAGGCAGATCAAGTTGTAATGTACTTAATAATGAACCAGTAAGCAGCAAGCCAAAACCCGCTTTTGTTTAGGACTATTGCTCATAATTGCATATCTCAGGTCAAAATTAGACAACACAGTAGCCCCAGTATAGACAAACTTTCATATGCACTAGTGGTGTTTAACTCTAGTGCCAAAATACAACTAATCCTAATCCCACCAAGCGAGAGCTGTCATCATTGGGCAAATTCAGTCACAACCCAGAAGAAAAAATCAAATAAATTACACCTCTGTTCTAAACGTTTTATATTTCTCAATAACAACGGAAGCAAAACAGCAACAGCGGGAGAAGAAAAGGGCAGGGCTCTGATGAACGAATCCAACACCAATCCGAAACAATGTAAGAGGTCCATGGTAAAAATCCTCATCACCGAATCCTCAATGGGAAAGTAAATTAAGCCTGTGAGCTGAGAAATTATGCTTCTTCATCAATAATTCCCAGCTTATATCACTACCAAAACTTGAAGGAATGGGAAATTGGAAAAGAAATATGGAAACGATCTCCAGTTTTCAAGGAACTGAATGAGAGGTAACATTGCATAAGAATCCGGGAAAGGAAGAGCAGGGCCTGTTATTTCAACAAATTTCTGCCAGCTTTCAACTCCATGGAAACAGAAGGGTGTAATCAAAATGCTAGATAGCGGCTAGCTACCACACAACAATCAATCGAAGCCTCCAAGTAGAACCAACTAACGAGTGGCAAGGGCTTACTCTATGCTTGCGGGATACACAAAACGATCAATCAAAAGCTCCACACCCACAAAGAAACGAGCTCGTGGGATTCTCAAACAACCACAGTGAAAAAACCCTGAACATCATTTTCAAACAATTTCACAGACAAAGAACGAAGATGGCACGACCAGTACCTTTCAAGGAATACCCAGCTGTTTCGGAAGTTCCCGATGGGGTAGAGAGTCAATTGAAGAAGGCAATAGGGAGGGTGGAAGATAGAGCCGGAGGCCGATGATTTGATTGACTAACCACAGCCCAGATCGACAGATCCCCAATCCTTAGATCTAAGATCAAGAACAGCTAGGAGTTCGAGCTGGTTGCGGTGCTTCAACCCAACGAGCAGTTCGAGCTGGTGCTGGGTTTCTCGGTTGAGGGACGACTTGGATTGGGACTCACGGGAGCCGCCGCCGCCGCCGATTTTGGAGGGGTTTAGGCGCTTGATCGCGAGAGAGACGGTATCGTCGAGGATGAGCTTCTGGTAGCTTCCGTTGAAGCTGGAACCCAGAAGTGGAAGCTCTTGGTGGAAGGAAAGGAGTGAATTGGGGTGGATTTTGGGGGAGAAGACGACGATGGGGACTTTGAGGATTTGGGGTTGCAATATTACAGAAAATAAAAAGGAGAAAGGTGACATATATGAAAACAAAAGAAAGTTGGACAATCCATCCACGCCGACACCGGCCAGAAAGTCGGCTCTGAAATATTAAAAGGGAACCCACAGAGAGGAAAAGAGAAAGAGGGAGGAGGGTGACAGACGCATTGCCGAAAGCTTTACACCAATACTATCATTTCCCACTTTCACCACCCAACCCTTTTGGAGCTCTTGCCAAAAAATATTGAATCGTAGAAGAAAACAGTGGTGCGCATGTGAAGACGAAAATGCCACCAAAGGTCCAGTTTTTTTAACGCGAGGGAAAAGAATTGGCTGTCTGTCAGTTACGATGTACAGCGAGGAGTTGTTCCCGCGAAAAATTAACCGTCGCCCAACTGTTTTCGTTCCTAACAAACTGCTCTCCGGGGGAGAGAATGCACAGCCCTCTGTTCATAAAAGAGTGAAAATAGTGGATTGGAAAAAATTGGAAGGATTCAGAATTTTTTCTATCTTCATAAGTTTTGGGAATTCCTACAATACCTTGAAGTAAGGTAACTTGATTTTTTTTACGTGCTATAATAGGTTTCACAGGTTACATTACGTAAAACACAATAGACATTACACAATGCTTACGTAACATATGTGTATCTTACGTAACAATTGTAAAATTTCATTACGGAAGCCTTCCGTAATGGAAGGTTCTTTTAGGTAATGAGTATTTACCTCGCGTTACGTAAAGTGATAAGTCATTACGAAAGTCTTACGTAATGCTTCTAATTTAACTGTTACGTAAGAAATAACTATCATTACGGAAACCTTAAGTAATGAAAGGTCCTTTTACGTAATGAAATTAACCGTATGTTACGTAAAGTGTTAAGGCATTACGGAAGTCTTACGTAACGCTTATGATTTAACTGTTACGTAAAAAACAACTATCATTACGGAAGCCTTACGTAATGGATGTGTATTTTACGTAACAGTTCTAAAATGTCATTACGAAAGCCTTACGTAATTGAGGCTTCTTTTACGTAATGAATATTAATCTTGCGTTACATAAAGTGTGAAGTCATTACGGAAGTCTTACGTAACGCTTCGGATTTAACTGTTACGTAAGAAACAACTTCATTACGGAAGCCTTACGTAATTGATGTGTAGTTTACATAACAGTTGTAAAATATCATTACGGAAGCCTTACGTAACAGATGCTTCTTTTCTCGTAATGAATATTAACCTTGTGTTATGTAAACTGTGAAGTCATTACGGAAGCCTTAAGTAATGAATGATTATTTTACGTAATGAAATAAATGAATATTAACGCCACATTATATAAAGTGTTAAATCGTTAAGAAAGCCTTACGACGTAACACTTGCGATTTAATTATTACGTAAGAAATAATTTTTTTCTGTTACTTTTATGTGATGGGTATGTATTTTACATAACCGTTGTAATATTTCAAAAAATATTTTAAATGAAAAATATTAGTCATGGTGTTTGTTTATTTTTAGTAAATAATTGGTAGCACATGAAATGGCACCAAACGTCCAAACCTTTGACTAATTTATAATTTAAAATATTATACAATTTTGTTGGTAAAATTATTTAAAAATATTCAAATTAAATGGCAAAGAATGTTGCTTCAGCAGTTAGAAAAAAACTTCAAAATTCTCACAGAAAAAACTACAAAAAGAAAAGTAAAAGCCTTCCATTGACAGCTATGGTAATAACTTTAATACTAGTAATGAGTATTCCTTACCAGTCCGGTAAAAGTTCAAAACTGAAAACAACTTTCCACAAAAGAAATACATTCCATAAAATAAACTGGATGGGCAGCTAGCGCCGGTAGCCAGTATTTTTTGGACGTTTTTTATTTTTTAATCAATGGTCCAAAATGTATTTAATTATTTTTAATGGTTTCGATCTATACAAGTTACCTAACTTGAGATTATACTCAAGTTACTGTAGGAGGTCCCTAAGTTTTGTTATAACTAGTACATTAGAGTGATTATTTGGTGAAAAAAGTTATTGTAATAATTGTCCTCCTCAATTTTGGATGAAAATAATGTATGCCTCTTATTAGATTTCTTTATCTTTTCAAAATTGAACACCATTTTTCTTGGTTATTTCACTACTTCCAAATTTTCACTTCCTTAAATTTTGCTTCTCCTACTTTATTCTCCCTCTCTTTCATAATCAAAGCGAACATGAACAATTGAAAAGGGTAAAATCCAAACAACCACCCAGGAGTAGTCAGCAATGGTGTATTGTTCGAAACAATTGAAATTAGGGTTATTTAATTTGGCTGAGTGTCGGATTAGGTTGCTATTTTTAAATTGTTTGTGATACCGCCTCGTAGTGCACACAGTGGACTAGGAGTCGTCGTCCCCACGATAAAACAAATAATCTATTTTCTCTCGACTTGTGTGAAACCGGAGCTCTTTGAATCTCACTTTATTCGTGTTTCTACCCCTCGCATATACCCTTTTCGCGGGAAATAAGGCATATTAATTACCTTCATAATTAGAACGCGATTTGGTAATAATTAGTCTTCGTCGTGTTTCCATTTTCATATAAGAAAAGGAATCAAATAAGTAATTTCTCCAAAAGGTTACAAAATCAAGCCGACCAACCAACCGATCGGACAAATGATGCTCGCGCATGTGTGGTTATGAGGTCATTTAGATCCTCGCTCTTCACAAAAATGGGTCACCCCATGGGGTATTAGCCCCGATAATTGTTGTATTCTTATTATAGCTCCAGCATTTGGCCAAAAATAAAGCTTCTTCAGTCGAAAAAATACAGCTCTTGTATTGATAGCAGAACCAATCAAGGCACTACTGCTACGTCACTACTCTATGTCTATCTACCACCCATTTTATAGAACTACACTAGTACAATCCAAAACCAGCTTACAACAACACACTAGTATTTACAAAGTAGGAATAAGATAGAACTCCTCAATAGTTGATCAAACTCCCCATTACCTAAGTTGTAAAGCTTTATATCCTCTCTGATCATTTCAGTTACCTCTTCTGCATTTCTGGATGTGTTTTGGAAGACTTTGTAACACCTTTCACGCCACATTGTAGCTATGTACCAGCTCCACAGACACCCTGCTAGAGCATGATTAGAGAAACCAGAATGCGCCATATCACATACCCTTCCCAGCATTGCTTCCCAATTATTAGACCATACTCTGTCGGGAAATAAACAATTCAGAACTTCTCTGGCAAAAGTGCACTGGCATAATAGATGAGATCGAGTTTCTTGACCTCCACTACAAATTTGACAACAATAAGATTCTATTACTCCCCAGTTCTTCAGTTTATCCTTTGTGTTGATTCTGTCAAGGATAAAAAGCCAAGTAATAAATCTGTGCTTTGGAATCACATGCTTTCCCCACAACATCTTCCACCACAATTTCCTATCTACTCTTGGCCTAATTGATTCCCAAATAGTCTTGATGGAGAATATGTGTAGAGCCTTTCCCTCCCAACTAACTTCATTATTACAATCCACTACTAGTCTATAACAAAATCATTATCCAAGTTTTAGTAGCTTTATCCACAAATAGGATCCTGCTTGTATATGTGATAAACTCCATAAATCTCTTCCCTTCAGTCTATGCTTGTGGATCCATGCCACCAAAAAAGATCCACTTCTTTTCAACGACATCCACATTCCACACATTCTGGCTGCACAAGCAACATTCCAGGAATGGAGGTTTTTTATACCAAATCCCCCTCATCCTTAGGTAAATGTGTTCCCAATCAACCTTAGCCCTCCCTATGCCTTCTCCATACCACAAAATATCCGAGCATCTTTTTTGGATTTCTCATATAATCTTCTTAGGCAGAACATAGACATTCATCCAATATTGTGTGAGTGCCATTAAAATAGTAGAGACCAACTGAATCTTACCCGCATAGCTGAATTTACTTGCTCTCTAAGGTCTAATTCGGCTTGTTATTCTATCTACAAGACGACTGCAGTTTACACTTGAGAGGCCCCCTGATTGCAAAGGAAGGCCAAGGTATTTCACTAGCAGCCTTCCCTCTTTGAATCCGGAATGTGATAGAGTCCTATCCTTCAGCATTTGATTTATCCCTCCAAAGAACACCTCACACTTCTGTGGGTTACACCTTAATCCTGAAAGAGTATAGAAGTCATCCAAAACTCTTCTCACACTTTCCACGGCAAAAGCAGAACCCTCCATAAAAATCAACAAAACGTCAGCAAAGTAGAGGTGGGTCAATCCTACTGCTTTGCATTGTGGATGGTAGAGAAACTATTTTGGTTGTGTTGTTTTATCTATTAAGACAGACAAAACTTTCATTGCAAGTGTAAAGAGGTAGGTGAGAGGGGATCTCCATGTCTCACCCTTTTTTAGCTGAAAAGTAGCCAAAGAGACTTCCCTGTAGTGTTACACTGAAAGTGGCAGATTTCAGGCATTCAACTATCCATCAAATGAATTTCTCAGAGAATTTCATAGTCTTTATCACACCCAACAGAAATCCCCAATGAACCGAATCAAATGTTTTCATGAGATCCACCTTCACTGCACATCAAGAGGTGATCCCCTTTCTATGATAGTTTTGGACTATTTCCTGAGTCATTAAGATATTATCCACTATGCTCCTTTCTTTAATGAAAGCAGATTGATTTTTCCTAATCAATCCAAGCAAGACTTTCTGTAACCTTTCATCTAGAACCTTGGCTATGATCTTATACAAAACATTAATACAAGTTGGCTGAATTTTGTCATTCTACTTGTTGTTGGTATCTTAGGAACTAGAGTAATGGAGGTGAAATTGATACCTGGAGGCAAGACCCCTGTTAAGAAGGACTCTCTAACAGCTTCAGTTACCTCCTTCCTAATCACTAGCTAGCTTTGTTGAAAGAATTTTGTTGTCCAACCATCAACACCTAGGCTTTTGTTGGGATCCATGGGAAATAGGGCATCATGGATTTCTAGATCTGTCACTTCTCTGCATAACAATTCCCCTGAGGCCTCATCCACAAATTTATCAACAAGATTTTCCAG